GGGATTCGGTCGTCGGTCCCATGTGGATTCTTGACAACCAACCATACCTCATTCTCCCCCATAAGTATATAGGGAATTTTGAGCCAACCGATCCCGAGCAATGGATCATTCCATTAGACTACCCTCCACCTGTAGATGATGAGGATGACCAGTTTCAGCCTGCACAGCAATTCGCCGAGCCTCAGTTTCAACCGCAGCATCAGGAGGGACACGAAGTCCCACCATATTTCCCCCCTACGTTCTTTGACCAATTTGCCACAATGTTCTCCACGGTGCAGCGCATCGACACCCAAACGCAAGAGAATACGAGATCCCTCCAAGATGTGGCGAGTCATGTTGATCGATTGGAGCAGTCCTTCCCTCCCACTTCCTGCTAGGTCGAAGATATGTGGGACTACCTTTATTGCCACGGGCATACCTCGCCACCCGACCCTCCGATTTAGGTCATTTCTGCCCTTTCCTTAAGCATTGAGGACAATGCTTGTTCTTAAGCTTGGGATTGGGCATTTCCCTTATCTTTTACTTTTTCATGCATTTTTAGCTAGGTTGTATAACATTTTAGTATTAAGCTAATTTTCATTCATATTTTTTATTTATTTTAAATTTTCAAAAAAAAAATTATTTTCTTCTTTTTCACCTTTTATATTTTTGCATAACATTTAGCCTAAGGCATTAGCATTCATGCATTTTTGTTCTCTGTTTATTCTCACCTCTCTTGGATACCATGGAACAGGTTCACAGTTCTTGTATCATTATTGGTCCAGGATCTTGTTGCTATCTCACCCATCGAACCGAGACCACTAGTTGCAGTTCGGGATTTCATACTTGGGATCAGATGCTGGTAGCTTAAAGGGGTAAGTGATCATGGCCAGGTAGTTTCATGAAAAATTATGCATACAATACTAAGAACTGTAGGATATACTATAGCAATGGATGTTCTTAGCCTTGTGGTCACTACCGCTGAGAGGATCACACTTGATCATGTTTGAACGTTACGATGAAGCATTGGTGCTTGTCCCTGAGTAGAATCCATATCCGGTCTCTTTACATCACCATATCTTTTTTGCGATTTTCTTAGAATTTTAGAGAGTCTTTTAGTCCACATTTGGACATTTTCATTATCTTTGAAAAACCACAAGTTTGAAAAGGAGCTTACATTACATCTTTATGCTCCATACATGGTCATTTTCACACTTAGGCCATTCAGATTATATCATTACCCTTTCGGTTCCACTTACACACCTTTGGGAACCAAATTTTGAGTCAAAGGGTTTTCTTGTTAAAAATTTCGATTGTTAATACATTACCTTCAAGTATTTATCAAAAAAAAAGACAACACAAAACAAAACAAAGAAAAAAGATGCATGCAAATTTTCAGTTGCAACTATATTAGATAGGTGGCCAGTTCAATTATTGAACAAATTTCCAAACATCTTGGTCACCCGACGTTTGATATTCATTTGTATAGGTCTGTTTTATTGTATATAGATCGAGTTGTTTTTTTCTCGCAAATTGGTGATGTTAGGAAGACTGTCGAGTCGGATACTACGGGAGGTTTGGGCCAACACTAAGTGACCCGATTCCTAAAATGGTGCCCGAGCGATTAAACCTAGTTACACATGAGAGAAACCGGTAGACGTGAGATCAGAGTGTGCACTTGAAGAAGAGCTCCACCCGAGCCCATCCAGTTGCTTTCTCCCTACTACAGATGTTATTCATTGTATGCATGTTCCATTGAGGCTGCGACTACTCATCCCTCCTTACTCACCTAATGGAGGTGTCCTGGCTATGGTTTATGGTTCCATTGTCATCCGATGAAAAAGTTGTGAGATAGCAGCGAGATCAATTCTGACCATGTTGACTAGGGTAGTTCGTCCCAAGTTCATTTTAGTCTTGTCTTACTTGAGGACAAGTAAGGTTTAAGCTTGGGGTGATTTGATTGATTCATTTTATTTATTTATTTTCATAGTTTTTTCATTTGCATTTTAGTTAATTTCCAAGCATATTTTCCTTTATGTTATTTTTATGACCATTTCGGGTACTTTCTAGTTTCTTGAGCATTATTGCATATTTTAAGGAAACTAGAGGAGTGGGAGTATGCGGGATCTTTTGGAAGGCGATTGGACTTGAAGAGCAGTGGGGATGTCATGCTTGATAGCGTTGGAGGTGATCCAGGGAGTAGGCTTGTCGATTGCTTGAAGGCGCAGAAGTGTTGAACTTTAAATTTGAAAGGGTCAGAGAGAATTCTTGAGTGTGCAAGATCGATGTTTATGAGTTTGCGGAAGTTTTGAGTGATGTGGAAAGACAAATTGGGCTTTAATTGAAGAAATATTGAAGAAAAATGGACTAGGAACATATTGGATCCGAATTAGGCCAATGGATTAACTTTGGGGGCCCAAGACTTGCAGAAGCCCAAAAATCCCATCGAAGCCCGCGGCCCACGTAATACTACCCGCGGCCCGCGTGGATTCCTGACAAGGGCAATTTCGGGATTTGGCTAAGAGCTCTATATTGGGAAGGTTGGTGTGTCTCTTTAGCCTCATCTTAAGGGTCCGAGTTTGACTTGTTCTCTCTGGAGTTTGGAGTACTTTTGAAGGCCAAGAACACCTCAAGAACATCTTGATTTCACCTCTTGATTATTGTAAAAATGTTTGGTACAATCTTATCTAACTTTGTTCCTTTGAGTTTAGCCATGCTTGGCTAAACAAATCTTGGTTGATTTCTTGTTGAATCCTTTGAACTTTTGTTGAATGTTGAAGAATCCATGAACTTGTTCTCAAATCTTTATGGAAATGTTTTGTGTTTTATCATATTATCACTACTAGTATGGTTTTATTCATGAGTTTAAATGTGTTTGTGGTGATTAGTTAGCTAATTTCTTGATTAAGTAAAGGATCATCAAATTAGCAAGCAACAAATGATTTTTGTGTTGTTTTTTCTTCACACAATCATAAAAACATTTTCTCCAACATGGTAATGAAAGCAATTGACTCCTCTTAGATTTGGTAACTTTTTGGTTCTTAATGCTAGTTGACTTTCACTAATTACATGCTTTTTGGAATTAGTGACTTTGATTAAGGAAATTGTTATGAGCTTCTCTAGCCATTTCAACTATTAAAAAAAAGTTTAGGTAATCTCAACCTCCTTAGATTACTATAGCCAAATTAAGGATTTAAATCAAAGTATTGCACCATTGGATTCAAATGATATGTTCATCAAAAGTCAAAGTGAGGAAACAATAAGCCAACCATCTATCCCTTATTGATTTTACATCAAATACTTATTTTTGTTGAAATTGTCTATTTAATTCATAGTTAATTCTAGTTTGTTTCAAGTATTTCAATACACCAAATCCCCTGCATTTTATTTTATTGTTATTTTACAAGTATTTTTACAAAGAGATTTTTCATAAAGTTACAACTTGAACCAATCTCCGTGGATTCGATCCCTTTACCACTATACACTAGTTTAGTGTGTAATATTTAGGGTTATTGTTTGTGTTGGCCTCGACAACCACCAGTCTGCGAGAGTAGTCGTAGCATTCACTAACAACCAGGTAGTGATATAGTGTTGTAAGTCTGCGAGTGTAGCCATAGCATTCACTAGGTTGGTAGATAGCATGAGTGCATTGGTAGGACGCGGGAAGGGTAGTAGTACCCACCAGTTCAGCTGTAGTAGTGAGGAGATGGAAATCCAGAGATTGGATTTCGGAATTACCCAGACGGGTTAGATTTGGTGAAGCCAGAGACAAGACTGTAGAAGCGCCACTACAACTATCAGAGCAAGGAAGCACTGGACTGCTTAAGGTCATGTAGCAATCACTTTTATCCTTGGGTTTGGTGATGTCAGGATTCGACTCATGGGCCCGATCGGTTGGATCAGGAGGTTGTTAGAGCCTCAGTGACATGATAACTAATGGAAACTAGTTCCAGAGAAGGATTTTGTTCAGAAGTCGTGCGACGTGACTAAATAGGGAGTCCATTGGCTCCACAACCGGGCTGGAATCCGACATTTCGGATGACTGAGAAATGAATTGAGACCAGGAAGGTCTCGACAGATGTTGGAAAGCAGCCATGTAGCAGCATGTTGTTTTAGGCAGTTCAGTGTTCAGGCTGTACAGTGATTCAGGTAGTACAGTGTTTAGGCAGTTCAATGTTTCAGGCAGCTCATTGTATCAGGCAGTTAGTCTTTCAGGCAGTTTAGTGTTTTCAGGCAGATTAGTATTTAAGATAGTTTTGGGTCTCTAACGGTAATGGTAATTAAGGATCTCAGGTATGGTAAGTGTAATAGATTGTCGAGTAATGCTAAGTTACCCACTGCGGGGTTCATCTATAATGATTCAGTATGAGTGGTCTGGTATGGATTCAGATCATCTAGAGACAGCAAATTTCAGACAGAGTACATGTAATGTTGTTGCGACGTATTTGTTCACCTGACGATTTTAGGGTTTACAAAGATTGGTCACGGCTACCCTGGGAAGCCTAGGGTGTGGTCAGGATGGTGACCATGTTAATTGAGAAGTGAGTGGGCAGGGAATAGTAAGGAATGATTTCGAGGACAAAAATCTAATTTAAGTGGGGGAGAGTTGTAACGCCCTGGTTATTTAAATTAAATAACAAATGAAAGTCCCAGACTAAATTTTGCATAATTTTAAAAGTTAGGGGTTTAAACTGTAAATTCAGGACTTAAATTGAAAAGATTTGAAGGCTTAAAGGTTTATTGGTGATTTAGGGATCTATTATGAAAGAAATTTATAGGATCAAGGATTAAAAGGTAAGTTTTGGATTCAGTTTGCAAAGATTTTTGAAGGTAGGGTTAAAAGTGTAGAATTCAGATTAGTTTGAAAGAAATGAGGGAATGAGGGGTTTAATTTGTCATTTGGGTATATACCCCCTTCATCATGGCTGTAAAACCCTAACCCGAATGGAGATCGGCTGCACCTCCCTTAAGTCTCCATTCCTCCAACCGCCATCACCGACCCATCCTCCTTGTTTCTCCGATCAGTCGCCGACGAGTAGGACCACCGAAGCCAGCAGCCTTGTTCCACCTTTCTGACCGAGAGCTTTGTTGGAGACCAAGTCGGAGCAAAGGTCCCCAACCGCCGCAACCATGGGAATGATTTCAATCGTTGCTGCTTCGTCGTTGGTTGTCGTCGTCATAGCCCCACTGTTGGTAACGATGTGTTCGTTGTGACAGCTACCAAGACCGACCGACTGAATGGGGTTTTCCTGCTGCAAGAGGCACAAGTGATAAGAAGATCGATGGTGAACCCATCCGCTGCCATAAGGCCGCTATCCGTTGCTGCTACTGATCTTTTCCGTTGGCAACCAATTAGCCCACTGCTCCCATGTGCCAGTTGATCTGCAACGCCCCTCTTCGCCTCCTTCCACCGCTTTCCCACATCGTTGTGCCACTATTGTTGTTGTTGGATGTTACTATTGTTGCTGGACCACCATGAGCCACCAGGTGGGTGGTTAGGTCCATAGTGCAAATGAGAATCATATGTCGGGTTGTATTCCCATAGTTAGTGTGTGATGTGTGTGTGATTAGTTTATTATGTGTATGTATGGTTAATAGAGATTAGGTTTGTAAAATGTAACTTGAATTTGGAATAATGAAAATAAACCAAACCACCACCGTACGGTGGTGGCCGCCGCTGCGAGCTGCCATTGACCAGCACTACCCGAGGTGGTAGTGGGTGGTGCCCCGCTAGCAAAACCCTAATGGACATAGATATTGGTTTTGGGCCTATTGGGTCATGTTTGAGTGGAAAACCCTAATTATGAGTATTGGGCCTTAGACTTATTGGGCCCACTTTTGGGCCATTGGGATTGGATTGTGAATTAAGCCCAAACTATTCCATGCCATTTATCTAGTAGAGTAAAGAACTTAATGGACTAAGTCCTTAATGAGCTAATTGAGAAAATCTTAATATTTGAGAAATTATCAGGACACACACAAGAATTTTTAATAAGTGAAATATTAAATAATAATCATTGGCAGAAATTAATCTAAGCAATAATGGACTTAATGGATTAAGTCCTCAGTGGGTTAAGCCCTTAATGGGTTAAGTGAGAAACACTTAATCCTAATTATTATTTTATGAGAAACCATAATTTCACTTGTGTATATTATTGGGCCTTATGATTGGGTTATTAATGGGTGGCCATCCAAGAATAATCAAATGGACTAGGGTAATTAATTTGGCTTTAGGGTAAGGCCCAAATGGAAGATTGGGCTCAATTTGGAAAATTAGGCCATAGTTTGGGCCTATAGGGTTGTATGATATTGGGCCCTAAAATGGGACATGTTGGCTGGCCTGGACAATTGGGCCTTAAGGGAAACCCATGTAGAGGTTTGGGCCCAATTTAGAAAATTGGGCCATATGTTGGGCTTGGATCCATAGTTGACTTTAGGCCTATGGATTGGACCTTGGCTTGGGTAAGCCAAGCTTGGGGTAATGTAGTAATTATCCAAAGTATGTAATTATAGTTATGCAGTGGAACCCAAATATTAATTGGGTGTTATTTTGATGTTGAGATAGAGGGAATCTGTCATCTAGCAGTTGCGGTCGGGTCTACGAGACTTCAGCAGTGTGGGATTGAGTGTGTGAGACTTCAACAGTGTGAGGTGAGTTTCCTTCTAGTAGGGATGGGTCTACGGCCACAATGCCGACCCGTTTAGTTAGCAGTAGTTTTGGACCTCGGTCCGATGCAGTAGTTATATTGCTTGATGTCTTTGTGATTCAAGCATGTTTTGTGTTACGTGTTTCGGACCCTGGTCCGATGCAGTAAGCATTATATGTGTTCATGCTAGTTGATATGTTTATGCTATGTTATAATTCAGTTAGTTCCGGACTTCGGTCCGATGCAGTTAGTTCCGGACTTCGATCCGATGCAGGGGAGAAGGTCCTAGTCAGTTCCGGACTTCAGTCCGATGCAGTCAGTGCCGGACATCGTTCCGATGCAGTTAGTTCCGGACTTCGGTCTGATGCAGTTTCTGGACTTCGATCTGATGCAGAGGGAACGACCCTGGTTAGTTTTCGGACTTCCATCCGAAGCAGTTTCCGAACTTCAGTCCGATGCAGTGGGCAAGGCCCAATATGTGCTTTATATGTTATTGTATGGTATGTGGTAGTTTGGGGTAGCTCACTAAGCTTCGTTCTTACAGTTTTGAGTTTTGGTTTCAGGTACTTCCGCTAGCAAAGGGAAGAGCTCGGAATGATGGCATCGCACACACCACAACTTCAGTTTTATCCTGAGAGTTTATTTTCGATATTGTTATGATTGATATAGTTTTGTTCTAACACAATTACTATGACATTTGAGTTACTCATTCCATGGTTTTATTATATATGATATTCGATGATTCGATTTTTAGTAATAATAAAACAAAAAGTTTTTGGGTTGTATTTTGGGTCGTTACATAATATTTGCGGACTAAGTTAATCTCAAGGATCAAGTTAGCTCAACAATAATAAGTTAGGAGTGTTAGATTGTTAATTGTGGAAATGTAAGGGACATATAAATGACAACAAGTTATATCAAGTAGACACCAAGTTGATTCATAACAAAGTTTGCAATCAAACACAAGTTAGAAAATGTGAACAACTTAAGGTGAAGAGGAACTCGGTTTATCAGAAGATAATAAGAGAGAGAAGAATGATATTTGTATTTCAATGAAAGTTCAGAAAGATCTTGAAGGTATGTATTGCATGAAGTTGGATACTCTATTTATCGAGTCGAAAAAGTTACATATGAAATAAACAAGTAATATCCTACTGACTTTAGTGACCATGCAATGTTCACTGGACAAAGCTAACCTAACACGCTAAGTCAGTAACGTAACTAGAAGGTCTTCATCATTCATCTATACGGTAGTGATTGCGGTTCGTTGTGGTTCACTAAACATCCTCTTCAACTCCGGTAGTTCACTTCTACTTTGGCATCAACTCCATATGCGATATTGACTAAAATCTAGGCTGCGGTTCCTTAGCTAAAGAGGGGCAATTTTTGTATCAACACAAAACATACGTGCTTAGAAATTCGAATGCCCAACCCAACCCTATCACAATTATTAACTCTCGTTTTCCTTGTAGGTTTTGACCATGGATTCCCTATCATCATCAGATGAACTTCTGAAACCCAAAAAAAGAACACTACCCTAGCGTTGAAACTTATGAATCTCCGATCAGAAGGATTACTGATGATGCTAACCCTTAATACATTTGATCCCGCTTGTAAAGGGATGATGAAATTTCAAACAACAAAATCGTCAATCGTAACATATATAAAATTAAGCATGACAATGTAAAAAATACTACATGGAAACATAGAAAAACACAAATTTAAATCAACACTTGCATAAATAACTAACTAAATTAAAATAAAATAAAAAAAAAAAAAAAAAAAACGGAAGAAAGTTAAAAAATATGTCGAAACATTCACTGTCTTTAATTCATACCGACACATAAATAAAAATAACAATCTCAAAAATTAGTTTTTTTAGGTTAATTAACTAAATTGTGAAAAATTCACACTCTTATAAACATAAATTAAAAGAAAAAATTGCATAAATGGTCCTTGTTGTCACCAATACCCACAAACTCACGACTTAAAAATACCAAAGTACCCTACAATAACGGATGACATTCACGTAAGTTTTGATAACTATGAGATCATATTCGTCAAAAATGTGAACACCGGCTAAGTTTACAACTTTTGGTAAATTGTATGGATCATTATGTAATTTTCTTTTATAATTAAGTGGATCGAAAAAATAAAGTCACTTGAAATGAAAATGAAAATGAAAATGAAAATGATGCATATTTTGTTAACAATTCTTACACGACATCTTTGGATGTTGTCATTCATTCGGATAATGTCTATGTCCATATATGCATGTGTCATTTGAAAGACATTTCTTATTTATCTAATTATTTTAGCGGTGTCCAGAAGATAAATATTACTATTTCGGTCTTTACACCAAGAAATGTTTCAATTTAATTTTGTAAATTTCACTCCCCTAGTAATTATTATTTCACCATTTAATATTATCTAGATACTAAAATATAAAAATGATTCAGTAATGTAATTAACATATAAGTTTCTTCTTGATTTTGTTTACGAAATATATGTTTGCGTTGTAAATATTTTGCGTTGTAAATATTTCTTTTGACCGACTATCACCGTTAAGTCAATTTCCCTGTTAAATTTGATGCACACTTGTCTCTATGGCATCAATTGAGAAATTCTTTATATATATATATATATATATATATATATATATATATATATATATATATATATATATATATATATATATATATATATATATATATATATATATATATATATATATATATATATAACATTATGTTGGATCTAAAATATGGTTTGTACTTTGCTTTTTTAAACTTTTGTTGTTTTCGGTCTTTGACCGAAAACATTATTCAGTTTTATTGTGGCTTGGACCGTAATCACATGTGATTTCGGTCAAACCATTGGGTTTTGTGCTTGGGATTTAGTTCGTAAGTATAAATATGATAGAAGAGACGTGCTTTAGGAGGCATTAGAAAGGAGGGGACGTTTTCGGTCAAGGAAGGAGCTATCATTGACATAATTGTGTTTTAGAGAGAGAAAGTAGAGAGAAAGTGAAAATGTGTGTATGAATCGTACATAACCGGATCATCATTCAAATCATTGAATACGTGGAAGATTCATCTTTTTCTTATTCTTCTTCTCCGTTCTATCTTGTGTCATCCACTTGATTGTGATTCCACACCATCAAGTGGATCAGATTGATAAGTCAAGCAAATTGGGGACTTATAGTTAGTATCAAAGCTTGGATCGTACCAATTAAATTTGCAAGATCTTTAACGTTTTTGGATTTATTTCTTGAAGGTTTTGGCATGTTTGATTTCTTTTAGAAATAATATTGGTTGATTATTCTTCGTGTTCTTCATAAATTCGACTTTTTGATCGAGTTTTGCACTAAAAAGTTAGAAAAAAAAAAAAACTGTATTGGCAAGAACTAGAGGTTTTAGGCAGAAAACACGTCTTCGGTGGAGTGTCTCCTTTTTCGGCAGAAAACACGTTTTCGGCAGAAATCGATTGTTTTCGGCCCTTCGCATCTGTTGACTTTCTGAGTTTTCTTATTTTTGGTATATTGACTTTCTGGTTTGACTTTTGACTTTAAAATTGACTGATGACTTTCAAATTTGATCTTTGACTTTCAAGTTTTCGCGTTGGACTTTCAAGTTTGACTTTGAATTTTGACTTCCAAATTTGAATTTCGAGGTTTCAAGTGAAAGGGTAATTTTTTTTTGTAAACAATGAGTTCCTCAATCACCAAGGGTAATGAAACTTCATGTTCTCAATCTTGTGAAGCTACAATTAAGTTTTTTCGTGATCAAATCGATATATTAAAAATAGAAAATGAGGACCGTAAATATGAAGGATATACAATTAGGGAGGCCCAAAAAC